GCGGCAATCGCGGATTTGGCAACACTGGTCCGCAAACTACGTTTCATATAACTCCTCCCCGAACTTCCCGCTGCCCTGGATCTTGGTCTCTCATTGGCTGTAGGTCATCGCCGATGTGTTTTTCAGTCAAAGCTCATTTCACACAGCATGATTGTGAATCGCCAACAGCTCCAGATATTTAGCATGCCAAATATTTCACGGGCGTCAGCGACGCGTCAGCGATTCCCTCAGATCGCGTCTTTGATAATTCACACTGCGTGATTGTCACTCGCGTGAACGAGCACCGATTTGCCTCCGATTTCGGGCATTTGTCGGCGATTTCGCAAAACCTGTCGGCAAGTGAAAAATCGGGCTAAAATCGTGCAGTGTGAACTCGGCATTACAGTGACGGAGAAATGAGCTGCGTGTCATCTGAACGCTTTAGATCCCGTCAGTTTTGTGTTCTGCACGTGATTCAGTTGCTCTCCACCCAAATTTAAAAGCTGCTGTTGGTTAATGAAGATTTGACGAAAGAACTCGCGGCTCGATTGGACTCGTCATGTCAGAAAGTGATAAGACTTTCAGTTTTATGGACGTCGCCATATTTGATTTGACTTTGGTCACTGTCGCTATGGTTACTGGTAAGGAATAGGGCCTACGGGCTTGACTCCCGTTGCACGTTCATGCAGACAGTATTCTAAACACAACTGTAAGTTGCTGTGTAAACGGGACATTTCGAGACTTACACCTGTAAAGAAAATGAGGTTGTCAATCCCAAAAACTGACAGTGTGAACGTAGCCTTTGTATCATGGTTTCCACAAAAATATTAAGCAACATAAATGTCTCTTGAGCACCAAATCAGCATATTAGAATGACCCAGTCAAAATAATACATACCAAATAGTGAAATTTGGAGATCAGGGAATCATGACTGAATCATTATGCTGCAGGTCACAAGGGAGAAAGGCAAGAAGGTACTGATTTTCCCAAGCATCTCAAATGCCATGCCACTGACATTGTAGAAGTTAATTTCACTTCTTTAGAATGTCAGAAGAAACTATGTTTACAGAATGTAGAAAAGATTGCAGTCATGTATCTTTGCTCGAGGCTAGGAAAAGATACACGCACTGAAAACCCAAAGGAGGCTTTCATGCATTTGATAAAGTTACAGAATGTTTGCAAGGGAGAGAAACTTATCTCAAGGTATGAAAAGTATACAAGTTTGATATTTATTTAATGGTGTCATAAAAATGCCATAAAACATGCTTGGTGAATGAGAAATAGGATTTACAGAATGATGCCTTGAAAGCTGTTCACTCAACTCATATTGAAACTGGCTGACTTGCAGATATTGGAAATACACCAGAGATAGTCTCCTCAGCTGCAGCTCTCAGATATCTGCATATAGTGGAATCAGGGAAGTTTGATGTTAACAGGCTGAAACGATCACACCGAATTTGAATATGTGCATATTCATCGGTCGGCCATTGATTATTTGATTTGCACAGAATTTTCAGTTTTGATCAAGAATATTACAAAGTAAAATATAACCCAAGTTCTGCCATTCCTCAGTAAGTTATCTGTGCATCAGTTGATGCTTGAGCAATGTAAAATATTTGTTTCTCCTACCATTCCTTAGTTGAAGTGCTAAGATGGGGTAAAAATCACTTGCTTGTCTTGATACATTATGTACATTTCTTCTTAGGAATACTATGTGAACAAGTAGGGAGCATCGATCTGTTAGATCTTTAAAGAGACCTTGCGTATAGAGACTGAAACTTTTTCATCCTAAGTCTCAGGACCGTGTCAGTAAGCTGCAAATGCTGTCTCACCCACTGGAGGGATCAATATGGATTGCTCTGCACGTCTATTAATTCACTGCTCATAGCTATTTTTACTTTAGAGAGTTGATGCCGAAGGGAAGGGATAAAGATAGTCAGTCTAATTTAAGCTCTGATTAATATTCGTCTGAATTTAGGGGAGCTAGAGGAGCTGGCTGCTATCGTCATGTTCACAGCAATGAAGCATATTAAGTTTCCACAAGTGTGCATGTTCAGTCTTTTCAGTATTTTTAGTACCTGATTAATTTGCTGTAATTAAAGCACTTTGACGTTATCATCTTTCTTTTAGTGAATTGTTACCAAGTAAAGGATGGATTGATCGGATACTGAGATATGTTATCAGACTTGTGCCAGCTTAAGATGCTGGAC